CTATTATTCTTGATAACACAGCTGTAGTGCCTCATGTCCAGCTCAGCGCCTTCCCAGGATTTGCCATGGCAAAGACAGAATAGTAATAACAGACTGAAGAGGACTGTGACAATGATCACAGTACACATGACATGTATGCTTGTAGGAGATTATCTAAAAAAAATGAATATTGAGCTAAAATTGTTGGAATGCTTTAATAACTCCTGAATATTTATTTATTTATATAATGAATATCAATTACCTAGCAGGAGAGAGGAGAGTCAACATCCATCACCATACTTCTGCTTTTGAAAGAACTTTGTTTAGGAAAAAAAAAAAACTTTGACACTGAGTGTGATTAGCCTCTCTGTTCTCTCGGTATCTTGCATCCAGAAAAATCATTCTATTTTATTTTTATGTTGTTGTAAAAATTACAGCATAATTGTATGACCTTATTCTTTTATGGTCAATGCTCTTATTAAATAGAAGATGTTCAAAAAGTTGGCAAGTATCATGTCTTATTCGATTTTTTTTCTACATTTCATTTAGCCTCAGAGAAATTAGACAGCATCATACAAAGGATAATGCAGTAGGGTGGAGAGACCTTGGTTCTAGTACCAGCTACTGATCTACAAGATGCTCATCTGTGACCTTAGGTAAGCAAGTGATCACCTCAGTGTTAGGTTAGTTATCTTTTGAGTAATGACATTAAATTAGATCCAGGCCAAATGTCTTTTAAGTTCTAATACTTTGATGTTGATCCCAGTTGACAGTTGACATTTGAAATACAGAGAAGCCCCTAGGATACTGCATCCAGAAGTTAATGCCGATTCTGATAGAGTTTGGAATGCCAGGATGCCAGTGGAAGTATGGAAGGTAAAATCTGGAATCACAATGTATGGAGGGGAATAAGGACTCTACTGAGAAATGAACTAGAGGACATTTATGTTACACTCTCACAAGGACTAGATACATTCTGCCCATGTTCAGAAACTATGTGTGACTTTTAATTCAAAGGTTATATATAAAGTTGTCTGGAACTTCCATTCCATCATAATGTTGAGGCTATGGCATGGTTATTACTTACAGCTCTTTGTCATATTTATAGTGATAGGATGAAGAACATATTAAAATGTGTTTTGTAATTTCTCCTTCATTTATGTATATTGCATTTCACACATTTAATAACTATGCCCTTACACATAAAACTTTCCAAGTATTTTTGCTCAGATATTATGGCCAATGTGTACAGTTAAGTGCTGGCCCATTATATCAAAGTAACAATCAACAATCAACAAACAACTTGTTCTCAGGAGCTTCACCAGGAAATAGGAGTTTATGTGATACAGCATCCATTGCAAAAGGAAGTTTCTTCTATATGCACAAAGCTTTAGAAGACAGTTTAAGAGGCATACCTTATCCTTGACAGAAGAATAGCAACAACTTCCCTATTGAGGCCTATGATCTTCCCAGCTTCAGGCTTTTGTCCTAGCTTACACTAAAAGACAAAAAAGATATGAACTCTCTTCTATGGTATTGATTGAACACACTATTTATGTGTCACTATTGCTCAAGCAACAACTTTCCTGACATTCAATACTCTAGCAAGTAGGATCCATTGTCTAATAGGGCTGTTCATGAAAAATTTCCCCCAGAAGACTGAATAGCAACTTCCACAATACCAGTAAGAAAAGGCGTTCCATCTCAACACAATCTTTACTTATTGATGCCCAATAATCAAAGCTTGTGGAATCTTCAGCAACAGGGCCTTACCATCTTGTTCTTGCTTGCAAACAATAGCAATAGCATTGTGGTTGTGAAATCTCAATGGCCTCTCTGGCCAACAACTCAAGGCAGAGTACCCACCTCTGGATTCTTATTTAATAACAGATAAAAGTGCCCTTTTACCTATTATATGGTACTTTCTGTGATTCTTTATCTTTTTTCTAATATCTCATATATTTTTTAAAATTAACATAGCCCTATAAGGGTTATAAGACAGGTAGAAGTACAATTTGTCTCAGTAAATTTCTGTACACCAGTGTTTATGAAATGGCTATAATTTCCAATTTTTTTGTGACATTATATATGAAACTGAACTGAATGAGACCTTCAATTATTGATTTACCTGTTGTTTATTTCAATGAAAATGTTTATATGTAGTAGTGTCTACATAAATGAATCATATTTGTATTCCTGTTTATCTACCATTTCCTCATGGGGCAAGTCATCTTATACATGTGTCTCATCCACCAATGTTGTCCCCATTGTGGTAACAGAATACACACCTGTTTATTGTGTCCTGTAAGAGTCTTAGCCTATCCAAAAGCTTGTTGAACCTTTAAGACCAATCTCATATCACACCCATTGGTATATCAAGTTACACAAAGAATGGATTACTTGGGACAAGTGGAGATCTTCCAGTATCCTGAGTATTCCAAGTATACCTGCAGCGCTCTCTCTCTCTCTGTCTGTCTGTCTCTCTCTCTCTCTCTCTGTCTCTCTCTGTCTCTCTGTCTCTCTCTCTCTCTCTCTCTGTGCATATGTGTGCATGTGTATGTGCTTGTGCTTGTGTGTGTGTGTGTGTGTGTGCACAAGCACGTGTGTATGTGTTTTAATTTCAGGAGCAAGGACATCTTGAATGGAGCTCAATCAACAAAAAGATCATACCATAATATATTGCAATTGTTTGATGCTATATCTATAGAGCTCTCTGAAAAACTTTCCAAGTACTTTCATGTGGCCAAGGGACACTACTTGGCAATTCAGTTGGTTAGAGTGGGGAATTTGAATCTTTTAAGTTTCAACTTTTCCAGACAGATGAAGGGCATTTACTTCCTCAGTCTCTTGAACCACACCTCTTCTACTTTGGCCAAGTATCATAATTCCCAAGAAATTTCTAAACAATACATGTGGGCAATCAAAATTGACTGAAAGTGCTTACTCCATTGGGGGTGTGTCTGTACATATTAGAGAGTACCCAGGTCAGTCATCCCACAGTGTATAAAACCATCACATCTGGCCAGAGCCAGGAGCCTTTCCCGAGATTCTGGTAAGTCAATCAGCTCTGTGGGATTCACTCTTCTTGCCTAAACATCTAAAACAGTTTTAGTACAGTAGTTACTTCTGGTTTTCTAGCCCTGTTCTTTCCAGAATATGTCCTTTCCCTCACAGTCATCTCAGAACTAAGTGATCTCATCTTCTCTGCCCTTTCCCTCCAGCCCCAGGATGCTGACTTTCAACAGGATGAAGACTGCAACTTGTTCCCTTCTCATCTGTATTTTCCTTCTCCAGCTGATGATCCCAGTGAATACTGATGAGACCTTAGACATTTTAGTGGAGAAAAAGGTCAAGGATCTTCTCTCCCATCGAGGTATGATATGAGTAGGAAAAATCATAGCTTAATCCTTGCAGATGCTGACTGTACACAAGACCTAAAAATCTCTTGTATCTTGGTCTAAACTCTTAGTCCTCTTCATCCCTGCCTTCTTGACCAACCGTTCCTTCATCACCCTACCCTTTTGAACTGTTGGATAAGAGCTCAACATTGTTGATGAGGATGAAGGAAAAGGATAGGGCCTGTAATTTATGAGCACATTATAATACAGGGATATTATGCTTTTAGTTAGTTTATTTAATTTTCACAGCCACTTTATAAGTTAAGTACAACTCTTACTTTTTCTTCACAAATGAAGAAGCTGGGTCTTTAAAGTTAGTGAGGAGCCTCCTTATAGAACCAGTGACATTCCTAAGATGGAAGAGAACTTACAAGGGAATTGTGAGACAGATCATGGGCAATATCACCTTTTCTCTCTTACTCAGATAATTATCCCTCCACTGTAACAAAGACTCTCTCCTGCACTAGTGTCAAGTCTATGAGCAGACTGGCTTCTTGTCCCCACGGTGAGTAATTCCTCAAGGAGAATTTGTGAATGTGGTGCCCCTGTGTCCTCCCCATCAATATCCTAATACCACCTTCTCCTAACTGAAGTTTGTATTGCCATGGAGCTGAGCTATAGTTCCAAGTATCCAGACACCCCTTTCTGATTTTCAGTTCCCCAAGGATCCTACTGAGGGACATTTGGTTTCTCCCATTCATGTCACTTCTTCCTTCATGCCAGCTCTTCCTGTGGTAATGGGTATGGCCTTCATTTCTTTCCCGATCTATTCTCTTATATTGTGGGAAGGGGAGGGAGCAGAACATGGGATGAATTTACTATTAATTGAAAGACAGTGAAACTCCTCCTTTTAAGTCCTTCAGTTTAAGTAACTTTTGCGTTTGGTTTGCTTGAAGAGAACTGTGAAATTTGAATACTTTATGTTCTACAAAATAGATCAACTCATGTGCTTTCTCAGAAAAAAAGAACATCCCTTACAGTCCACCAAGGGCTCTGACATCTGTGTCTCACATAACTATACAGGGATGACTGCTACTGGATGTGCTTGTGGCTTTGCCTGTGGATCTTGGGAGATCCTCCATGGAGATACTTGCAACTGCCTGTGCTTACTCATCGACTGGGCCACTGCCCGCTGCTGCAAACTGTCCTAAGAATGAAGATCCCAGCTTTGATATGATTAATCTAACAAAACTGCAATCTCAACTTGGAAATCTGGCTCATGTGCATTTTGATATATTCATATTGCCCATTAACCCTGCTTATTGAAAAATAAAGACAAATTTGCATCTTTCTGTGTTTATGTCTTCAATGTTATTACTCCTACCTTGGGATATTTCTTGCCAAAAATCACTTTCAGTATCACAGTTTACATCTCAGTAAGGCATGTGAGATGTGTGGTTAGGAAACAGGGAGAGTGGGAAAACAGGCTGAACCTCTACTTCTATTCCTCACTAACATAAGGTATTGAGTACATTGTTTGTCATGAAATATACTAAAGAAAATATTCTTAAAGAGTTCAAAACTGGGACAATAAACTCTAAGACATGTGAAGGAATTCAGTCAAAGTGCAGGCAGCCAAAGGAAAATTGAAAATAATTTGATTCTAAACTTTTAGTACACATATGTACTTTCTTACTCAAATACCAAAGATGGCATTCATCAAGGTGATTTCTATTCTGTTGCCTTTCTTCCAGACAGCAAAATAAAGCCACATCTCTCACATGCCACCGGATCTTAGTATACTTCATCTTCCTGGGTGTAAAAGCCTACAAAATTCCTGGGTATAAGAATTACAGAATTGCAAATTCAAGGTGTGGTAGTGGCACACACCTTGAATCTGAGCCCTGAGGAGGCAGAGACAGGCATATCTCTGTGAGTTTGAGGCCAATCTGGTCTACAGAGCTCTGGCAGTTGTCTTCATGTTTGAAAATGAGAAGGTTCTTTGTTACTAACCCATACAGTGAGTGAGTTGAGAGCAATGCCATGCTTGCCAAGAGGATGATAGCCAACAATCTTCCATCAAATTGTGAATTTACTACTTTTCCCTGTTGAAACAATAACCAAAGAACTTATAATGAGAGATGTTATCAAATGGCAGTTTCTGCTTAGTGGATATGAAGAGAAGAAAATTGAGAGCTACGATTCCTTCTTATTTAGGGGTGTTTTTATTCAACTTCCCCCAAAATCTTACTTATATGCACTTTTCTCAGCTTTGTTCCTCATTTGAGGTCATGGATAAGAAACTAAACTGACACTTGAGAAACTTGTCACAAATTGTCCATAGGTTGAGAATTATGTTATTAGGTTGCATGACAACTTAAATACTTGTACCTCTCCTTCCTGTCTTTGTTACTTAAGGGGCTAGGGACTCAAGATTTAGTTCCATTTCCTTCCGTTTTCATTAATTGTTTGAACATCATTTCTTTTTCCTTTAATACCTTTTTTCCATTCTTCCTAGCCTGATCTCACATTATTTATGCTTCATCACAATTGGAAACACCTAACAGATAAGCAACAACAGCAATAATAACAACAAACTGAAATACTGTCCTTAAAACCTAAGGGCTTCATTTTCCTCTTCTTTCCATCTCTACCACTCATGTTATGTAAAGAATGTCATCACAGGATAGTACTATCACTATGTTTGCAGACTATTATACATCCTGGGAGAAGAACATGCTATTTAGTTGGATCCCACAGGATAGACTACTGCCCATTACTTCTACTACTCTAAGTAAAGAATTCTGAGAGTTAGGTCTATGAAGGAAGCCATAGAGCCATGGCCTCAACCAGGAAACTTCTACCATTATTCAGTAAATCATGATGGTTCAACACATGGCCATTTTGACTGTGAGACTCTATATCATAAATAATAAAGATTATCTTTCTGTGCTTGTACTGTTAGGTTTACTGGTTGTTGACCAAAGACTACATTATCTATGAGGTATTTCCCCTTTCCCATTGTTACAGATAGTTCCATAAAGGTTGGGCTGTGAGGAAAATCAGAGAAATTTACATCAATAATTTGCCCTCTAGACCATTTATCATTCTTTTGCAATCATTGAGTCCCACTGTTCCAAGCTTTGTTCCTCAATATGGGGTATATGGAATTATAACTATGTGGATACCATAGCTTCCCTTAAATATCTTGGAGGCATATTCATTGCACTGCCTCTAGCATCCAAACTTGAAACACAGGATGGGTATTCCAATCAACAGGATATGTAGTTATTTGTGTCAGGCTGACTGGTGATCACTAGTTGTACAAGAAGGAAGTGTGAGTCAAGGGTACAGAATCTCTTAGAGTAATGCATGATTCAAACAGTCTTCTTTAATCATACAATAAGAATTCAACAATGGAAAAGATATCCCTTGCTACTAGATGGCAGGAGGGAGAGGAATGAATTGAAATAACCGTATCTTCCCCATGGGGAAACTATACTCTCAAAAGCAAATGCAAGTATAAAAGCAACCAATCAAGTTCACGTTTATACCAGGAGGTAGTGACACAGTAAGAAGAGAGATCTGACTTTTACTCTTGGCATCAACTTGTTATTGGCTTTGAACAAATTTCTTAAATACCTTGAGTTTCACATCCCTGTGAAAGACGATCAAAGGCTGGGAAGAAGTATGAACAAACTCTAGGAAACGATTCTAGTCTACCATGTGCCAGACAAACTTTGGCTTCAGAGATAAGCGTGCACAGTGTTTAAGAATGTTAACTTGGGAGGGTGCTCTATCTTCTCAGAAGAAGAGAGGAGGGACTGTGTGCAGGAAGAGAGAGGAAACTAGGAGGAGAGGCAGCAATTGGGATGTAAAGGAAATAAAAAAAATCTAAAAAAACAAAAAATGTTTACTTATCTCTTAAACATCACATATCAAAGGAAGAGCCACAGTTCCCCCTAAAGTATCTTGTGTATCTTCAAGCCAGGCAAAGGAAGCTGTTCTATCTGGAGTTCCTTCCTGAGAACTTAACTTACCCTGAAGGAAAATGTTCATTCCACATTTGCATTCTGACACTTCATCTCTGTTATCATGTATCTTGGTGGTGGTAGCAAATATGTGTATGTGCTAGATGTATGTGAGTATGTGTCGAAGGCCCAGGTCATTCTTGCATGTTACCCTCAAGATCTGTCCACTTGAGTTTTTTTTTTTTTTTTGAGACTTCTCATTTGGCCCTAAGCTTGCTATTTGTCCAGGATGGCTTTCCAGCAAGTTACAGGGTTCTGGCTGTCTCTGCCTCCCTGTCTCCGGGACTTCAAGCACACACCACCACAGGTGGTTGTTTCTGTGGGTTTGGGATATCAAACTCATGTCCTTACACTTATGCTATGAATACTTCACTGACTGACCTATTACCCAATCATTCATTTCTATTTTCCCAGAAAGAACACAAGCACCCCTTTTCTCTATTTTCTTCTAGATTGTTCATTATCAAAATCAAGAACTGACTGAAAAATAGGCAGGACACTTTAACACTTCAGATTCAGCTGCAGTCCCTGGTATGATGTTTTTCTATGTCCAGCTACCAAACCTCTGCTCTCAGAGAAGTACCATTTGAACATCCATCCCTGGACTCAATATCACAACTTAAGAAAATGAAAACAGGTGATCCAAACAAATTTTGTTTTACAGAATCATTTTTAGTATCTTGTATACTTCAATTAAAGCGATTTTATTTTTATATTCACTAACACTTTGCTTATATTCCTTATCAAAGCAAATATTTGGTTACTGTCAGGGGACCAGGCATGAGAGTATGAAAGCCTCTGCTCCATGGAGATTATAGTATAGTAGAAAAGGAAAACATGAAACACGACATAACAATTTACAGAAGAAAAAAAAACCTATAGACTTACCATTAGGTAAAAGCTAGAGTGAAAAGTAAAAGACAGGCCTCGCTGGGGATGATACAGTGGTGAGGTTGTATCCTGGTGGAAAGACACAGATCAGGAGATAACTCTTCAGGTAAGAACTTCAAATTGTGGGTAACTATATTGAATTACTGGCAAAGTAGCCCAGATATAGCACAATAAGTCAGTGTACTACTATAAAGACCAAGGTTTTCAAATGCCAAATCACAGAATCATAACAACAACAACAAAAATACAAAACAAAAAATAAAAAAAAGAGAAACATTTCTTGAGTGCATTTGTTAATCTTGAGATGTGTCAAAAGAAAAGAGGGCCTTTATGGACATCTGTGTTATTTTAAATGTATTTTAAAATATAAAGAACACTCAGAACTTAGCAACATGCTTTCTAGGCAAAGAAACCTCTTCACAGAGGATGATCATGATAACAAGGCGATGTCACCTTCCTATAATAAATGATGGAACCATGAAGGTAATATTAAAGAAGTACTTTGAAGGTCCACTGTTGACCATTCCAAGTAACTCCAAACTGGACTTGATATACAACAACTAAAGGAATTAAAAACAAATATACCTATGAATTATCAAGGCCGAATTGAACATGTGAAAACCCTATCTCTTTTATTAACTGTTTGGCTTCTTCATCTGGAAAACCTTCATGGGATGGGACTCCCATGCATTTCCCTAATTGCTTTGGAGTTTGTGGAGCTAGCTCAATCTATTCCTGACTAGTTATACCTCACCCAGATTCTGGTAGACTTGGCTTCAATTGTAGGTCTCAACACACATATTCTCTACCCTACTCCACTCTGCTCCGCTCTGCTCTGCCCTGCCCTGCCCTGCCCTGCCCTGCCCTGCCCTGCTCTGTTCTGCTCTATTCTACCATCTTCCCCTTTCCTCTTATTATTTCTGTTATGTGTTGTTTCAATGTAATCCCAAGGCTAGAGGAATAATTTCCACTCTAAACATTCCTTTTGGCAGAAAAAAATAGACACAATTTTCTTTGGATGGATCATTGCTCACCATTAGTGAAATGTGAAGGTTTTTACCTGGGCTATTTTATTCTCATACCCATCCACTGCTGCCCATTGCTCCCAGATGCTTTTGAGACTTTGTCATTAATGAAGGTGCACTTGGGTCCAGAACCTACCACAGTGCAAGAAATTTATATATTAATAGCAGACCAGTGAGTTTATAGTTTGACAGGAGACCACCAGTTGCCAGGAATGGTCCTCATGTACTGACAACTTTGATCACCCTGTCAGGGAAGCAGCTTGAATTTCTTCCAAAACAGGAATTTCTGTGAAGACCACTTGTACTTTCAAAAGTTCCTTCACTTAAACTTTGCTGAAATACTGGTTAGGCTTGAAAAGCCTTCTCAGAATTCACAAAAGTGTTCCATTTGTTTTGTTTTTACCC